ATTCTGTAGCATTTTAAAGTTTGTGAAAATTTGAATTTTCATGTATTATTTTACGGTATTAAACATTACAAACTTGGCATTAATACCATGATAAGAAATTTGATAAGGCAATTATAACTTATCACTTTCATTCAAAAGTATAGGTCATTTTCATGGAAAAAGTTACACACCTCCAAATTATAGTAATCATGAAAAGATAGTGTTTTCTTCTGTCCTTTTCTCAACACGTATTTCAATGTTTAATACCGTAAAATAATACATGAAAATTCAAATTTTCACAAACTTTAAAATGCTACAGAATATTTACTACTGAATGTTAATAAGATATTTTTTACTAAAATTTTTCTTAAATTCTACTCTACAAAATAGCTATCTTAGATTTTTTTTTACATTTTATTTAAAATTTAAAAATAATTAATATTTTTAATAAAATGTAAAAAAATTAANAAATAATTATTGAGATATAGCTATAGATCTAACGTATAACTATTATTTAAACAAAAAAAAATCAGCTAAAAATATTAACTGCATCAAAAGTTATTTAAGTTGTCAGTGAGTGCTGGGCCACTCTGTATATAACCAAATAATTTGGTCTAATTTAATATTATTATAATGTACTTTTAAACCTTATAGTCTAGTTAAGAAAATACATTTAAATCTTCCCATGAGTATACTATAAAAGTTCTTAAAAGTACTTACGTTCGCATGTTACTTCAGGACCATACCACGAAGCAGAAATATCCATCGCCAAACACTTAGCTTTTGCAAACCCTCTCATCATAAATCCATTTTCGCACCGATATTCAACTTCAGCTCCGACATCGTAAGTTAATTGATCGGGAAAGGCATTGTTTATTGCATTTTCGATTACAGGAGGGGATTTGCAAAATACTATTCAGGAGATTACGGTAAGATATAAAAAGTCATTTATCCTTTTTAACAACTATTTTAACTTACTACTTACCACTTTGTTTACAATACGGATCCGAGCCTGACCACGTACCAGAAGCATGGCACGTCCTATGGTCACGACCTATTAGCTGGTAACCTATTTCACAGCTATAAGTAGCCTTGTCACTAAAGAGTCTTCCGGTCATTATCACTACGCCATGTTCGGGATTCGGTAATTCATCACATTCTCTTTCTGCGGAAAAATATCAGACACACATATTAGATACAGCATGTTTATTGAACTGGAAGATCTGACAAAAATAACAAATGATTTTGCTAATATCGTTCAGCCGATAATAAGTTCATAAAACTAANGCTAATATCGTTCAACCGATAATAAGTTCATAAAACTAAAATTAAAAATAAATGCCTAAAGTAAAATTTCTCAGTATCAATTCTACACTAGTTTTAACAATTTTTTTTGCTTATTATTAATTCCCTCTCATTGAATTATTGAATAATATTATAAATATTAAAACGTAGTATTATAAGTCGTACGACAGATTATTTTATAATCTTTCCATTTTAGCATTCAACAAGATATGATTTTACTTTAATTCATATGTCATGATTTTTTTTCAATCTACAAATTTGATAAATTTGGCATTAAATCGTATTGCTAATGTTATCAAATTTTATTATCATTCTAAAGTATATAATATAAAAACATTAAACCTTTCTTTCTGAGATAATGCATTAAAGTTATCCGATTATAAAAATGATTATTTATTCAGACAAAAACATCTACACGTTAGAAATACATAAATAGGCTTTTAGTGAATTTATTATAAATCAATTTAGATTTGATTATTTTGCTAGTTATAACTAGTAAAACCCAATTTTTAACTGAACAGAGATAGGGTATAGTAGTTGAATTATCTCTAATTATTTAAATTATGAATAATATAAATAAATATGAATTATTATGAATATGTATTTTATTTTATTTTTGTATATTTTGCAAAAATTTATTTCATACAGTTAAAGTTAGTTGAATTTGTCGATGTCTTTACAACCATGGTTGATTTAATTAAAATAATTGTTATTTTTTGTAACATCTTCTTGAAAATTATATTCATATAACCCCAAAGAAATATTGTATAGGGGATAAAATATACCTTCTGGTTAACAACTCAAATAAAAAATAATAATATTCAGTATTTTAATTAGGGGAAACGTCTGAAAACCGATTTGTTTAAGTCTAATGAATAGAGTTGTATACAAAAATTATTTGAACCCTTTGTACACTTATTTATTTTTTTACGAAAAAACATCCATTACTTATTACTTGTTTTAATTAAACTCATGGTTCAAATGAAATATCGAGCGTAATTAAGTAAATTAAGTATTGTTATTGTCAACTCTTCTTGGTTAATTAGTAAAATATTATGTTGATTTATTAAATTTGACTTAATAAATAATAAATAGGTAAGAGTAATAAAATGTCTTATTTTTTGCTTAGTTCTTAACTTATATTTGATTATGTCTATCTTGTATAGATTTATAATTTATCCGGAGTTTAATTAGATGATGATAAAATGTATCATTAATAATATAGAATAATTACATTATACATACTTATTGTTTGAGTTTCTAGAATATTTCTCTGTGTTTATTTTTTTATAATACGTTTTCATGACGCATATTGTCAGATGTAATACAATTATTTTCGTATAAAATTATAATTCTTAAAGTTGTAACACTAGATAATTGTTTAAATAATAAGGTTTATTTCAAGCATATATCATTACAGTTTATGTTAGTCATGAACGTCTACTCACTAAATCAGATGTGTTTTCAAACCAGTGCTGTTAGTTCGCACGTGACGCGTAATGTAAGCAACGTAAGGGGCCTTTCGTGTGCTTAAATTTATAAACGCCTTAGTATAATAAAATCGTTGAGCTACTTTCTCATTTCGGGTGATAATATATTTGCTAATGGATAAATTTATTAATATCTCTTCGAAATATTTTGATTTTAGTACATTATTATTCAACTTCAAAAAGCTCCATAAAAGACATTTCACGCTTGCGAACTTTTTATTTATGAAATTCATTACATGGAAAGTATGGATACACATTAATCGCACTATAAAAAATTAACATTGAGTGTTCATTTTTTTATTTGCGTAGCTAGTAACGTTATTTTTCATGCGCGTAGCTATTGACAACGATATGTTAGCTTATTTTTTAATTAAATTTGAGCCGTAAGTAATATTTATTAAATAAAAAAAGTAAACTATTGATTACAATTACTATCAACGTTCATTTATTTTTTTCTATCGAAAAAATTGTTTTTTTAATTCACAGATGAAGATTTCAATCGACTTTAGATGAAATTAAATTTTGTAAACATGTTATAAATTTCACCATGGCATATATGGTACGATTCAGTCGGTCGGTGGAATGCAATGAAATACGGTGGTTTGTTTTTATAAATCAAAACACGAACGGGTCATTAATCATTTTAAAATTAATATTATTTGTACTGCTACACTACAGTGATATTATTTCAGACATTAAAATCATTATTAAAAAATAATGAGGCGCAGTAACTTCTACATGCAGTACACGTTAAAATGACAATTATCTTTTGACACAAATTTAGCTCCCTTGAGTGTGTAACGTAAATTGTTTAATTGTACAAACATTAAAAAATGCTGAATTGTATTTTACGTGTCTAAAATTTGCATAATCAGACTAGTTTATCAAACATTTTAAGTGGTGTTTCGTCAAACGATCCGTCTAAAAACTAGCACTTATGATTTAACAACTAACCTATTAAAAACATAAGCACTTAAAGCGCTAATAGTTCTTTTATAGCTCATTTTAACTTGATTAAATTAACTTTGTGAAAATTCTGTAATTTATAAAAGATATTTAAAAGCGTTAAGGTATGAAACCTTAGTAGGAATTACTTTTTAATTAGAAATACATTTATCTATAATTTAAAATAGATATAAATTTTAATGAAAAATAATCAGTTAATAACATATGAGTACATAGTCATGCGTCATTTAATAAATTAATAACACTAAATTAAGCAAAAACAAAAAATTATCTCATACACGTATACTGTGTTAAAAAAAAATAAGTTTTCTGAGTTACTACTACTGGAAGTAGTTCTAAATACTTTCTTGTATTATGAGCTTAAGTAATATGATCTAACATAAAGTTATTCAAGAGCATTATTAATTTTTATGTAATGAAATTGTTAGTGGTCTCTTCTGTTTTGAAGAGAAAACTTTAATTTTTGTTGGATACACATTGGTCTTATGTGCTGTTGTAGAATTGTGTGTTGTGATAACTTATGCTATCGTCGTGTTCTCTCTCTGTTTGCATTGTCACCGCCATCTTAGCACTTTTTAGCTCTATGACACTTGAAAGCCCATAGTTTTGTTTTTTGTTTGTTGCAAAAAGTGAAATATCACCTTTACTATTATCGTATCCTTGTGCGCTCTCAGTATATCGCCTTTGGGTCTATTTGTTTACTGAGATACATCACAGTACCATTTACGGCATATAGTACACGTTGGTCAGCAAATTGCATTCGACTTCAATTGATCCACTCGATATTCAACATTATCATCATCCGTTACAATGATCCGATAAGTATAATACTTGCTCATCTTCATTTTAAGATTTATTGACATTTGTATTCCATTACTTGTTTATATCAGCGCCATTGTGGCAATAGTATTAAGTGTCCCCCCTTGTCCACATTGGTGTATATATAAGATTTTACGATTCATGTATAATGCATTTAATTGTTATATGTTTTCAAAATTCATTTTACATTCATTCATACAGTCCACTCGCCTTATTCTTTTTCCTCGAGATAGCCTGACTTAAGACAAAATACAACAACGAACCCGAGTGAGTACCTCCGGGCGCTGCGTTCATTCAATTTTAATGAGCATTCAAATAATATAATTAACTAAAAAATGCACACAAAATTTCGCTAAACTTAAAAATATCCAATTATTAAACGAGAACGTTATAAATAAAGTTTACTATGTTAAATATAATTTATATAATTTAATTAATATAATAAATTAATATAATTTATAACCCATAATTTTTTTTTATGTTCAATATCAAGTTATAATTTTCACAACAAATAAAAATTGTATTCATAAGTTAAAATAAAATAAAATAGAAAATATCTCGTACAATAAATGTATAAGATCGTATTTTTTTTAAACTTCAATTTAAGAATAAGAATTATTTTTTAAATTAAGTATAACAAATATCGAAAGTTTTTTAATTTTTTTCAATTATTTGTGGAGTTGAGCAAAACTGAATAATAAATTGTAACGAATCCATTATTACTGAACTTCAAATTACTAAAACATTCGAAAAAAATGTTTATTTATGTTGTTTAAAAATTTTAAAAACTCATATTATGCTAAGCTCACAAGTTTGATCGTAGTAACCTTTTTATTCTTATTTTATTTTAACAATTTAATTGTAATTTAAGTACACTAGCTGTAGGAGGAGATAAGTTCAAGATTAATAAAACCGTTCTTTTCTATTCGTTTTTCATTTGAAAAGACGATTTACAGTTTGAAATGAAGTTATAATGAGCTCGTACATCATTGTCCTTCAAAGTTATAAGACTTAAGAGACCGCAGGCAATGTATAACATCCAGACACAATAAAAATAAAAAATATACTTCTTTTCAGCTGTTTTGTGTTTACGATTATCTAAAATCAGTTCTGACACAACTTTGAATTAAATCTTAGGGGCAGGCAAACAATAATTAAATGAATTTGTTTACCAAAGAATTTGCTGTATGAATAAGAATATAAAATTAACAAAAATTTCCCATTTTGTATTTTTCGATGTAAATTAACACTACTATTTTTAATGAATACTTAAATTATTTATTTCATTTATCATAAAAAAACTTTTCAAACAAATTATACAATAATTCTTAACATAAAAAATACTTCAACTACATTTATAATTTATTTTAATTTCTCAGTATTTTTGTGTCAGTTTAAACTCTACACCACTTGTTTTGAAAAATTTATATGTAAGTGTAATTTTTTACAAAGTTTTACTATTAATGTATAACACACATAGTTATACCCCAATTATTTCATATACACTGGAATGATCTATTTACCAAAATTCCAGTCGCTTACACTTAAAATAATAATTTACGTGAGCTAAAATAATCTTCATATTCAACCACAGAACGCAAAACGCTAAACGAAATACTCCAATATGCTGTTATGTCTTTGATTTACACAACACCAAAGCTCTTTTTGCCCACACATTAAACCTGAACGTTTCCGCTATCCAAGACAATCCAAGTAAAATGCGCCGTGTCATTGTCGTTGTCAGTAATACAAACCCGAGTGTAAATTCAAATAAGCACCATACATGTTTTGTATGAATTGAATAATCGTACGGAATGGTTTGCTGTCATAAGTCAAAAGGCTTAGTACGTGGTAAGACCAAAATAATAGAGGATATAGTAATCTGCCAGAAAAGTTATTGTAATTTCATAAATCAAAGGTTACAATTATAAATTATGATGATAATGGAAATTTGTCAAATTCATGTAAACGTATGAATTTTAAATTACAACTTTTTAATCGATATCAGTTTATTGAATTTTTTCAATTAAATACTTTTACTAATTTAAAAAGAACACGCAATTAAGTAAAATTCAAAATTCTATTAGCTTCGACGCTAAAGCTGAGAAGATATTAATATTACCATGATGTGTTTGTCCATAGAAATGTTGAACTCCACAATTTTATAGATTTATGCGTCAAAAAACACCTATTTTAATCTAGTTTAACTTATAATTCGCAAAACTTGAAGAAAATTCCTTCAATTTATAATATTTAAAAAATATCTCGAAATTGGATATCCGTCAAAATTGACAAATTCAGATATTTTTTTTTTCTAAAATTAAAATTTTCTGTAACTTAAAAATATTGCTAGATCTACATTTTTTGAAAATTTATTAACAATGAAAATGTTTTGAAACGTCTAATATCTTTTAACCTACCAAATTAAAGCTTTTGATATGTATTATAGTATTTAAAAAATTCTTTCCGACAATTGTGCTACTATGTGAAACATAGTAAAACCCAACCACAGTAAAAAATGTAGTTTTCAATTTTTGAAAACGTTCCGGGACGTCTGACATATCAAAACCCATATTAATTTTTTTTGGAATTTGTTAGATCAAAAGATTTTATGATAGTGATGTTAATCACTTTCAAATATCATTTATATTGGTGTCCACATGCTAAATCTTAATGTATTGATTTTTTTTTCAATTTATTGAAAAAAAATTTATAACGCAATTTTATGAGTCTTTGACATACTTTATTTAACATATAATATAACATAAAAATAATACGAAACTAAAAAACGATCAATTTCAGGACAAAAATATCATTCAGTGTCCTATGAAAAAAGTTTTAACTGAGTTATTGAAAATCCTTGATGGGTATTAAAAACATAACATAAAGTTTAAGTTTAAAACTTTTTCCTGTCAAACGGTCAACTTAAATAACGAATAATATCAATTATTACCATATAATAAAAAATTATAGATTTGAATCCAATTATCTCAACCTTTACAAGACTACGAGTAAAAAATGTACTGATTTCAAACGTAATACATAAATACATAAAAATTAGACGTTTAAGAACT